GACATCCCTGTCTTGTTCCTGACCATAAAAGAAAAGCTCTCAGTTTCTCCCCATCGGGGATATTAGCTGTGGGTTTTTCATAGATGGACTTTATTATGTGGAGATATGTTCCCTCTAAACCTACTTCGTTGAGGGTTTTTATCATGAATGGATGTTGTACTTGTCAAATGTTTTTTCTGCATCTGTTACATTGATCATCTGGTTCTTATTCTTTCTTTTATTAATGTGATGTATCATGTTGATTGATTTATGAATATTGAACCACCCTTGCAACCCAGGAATAAATCCCACTTTGATGGTGGTGAATGATTTTTAAAATGTATTGTTGGATTTGATTTGCTAGTATTGAGGATTTTGACATCTATGTTCATCAGAGATATTGGTCTATAGTTCTCTTTTTTTGTAGTGTCTTTATCTGGTTTTGGTATCAGGGTAACGCTGGCCTCATAGAATAAATTTGAATATTTTCATTCCTTATCTATTTTTTGGAATAGTTTGAGAAGAATAGGTATTACCTCCCCTTTATTTTTTTAATTTTTAATTTTTTTTATGTTATGTTAATCACCATACATTACATCATTAGTTTTTTTTTTTTTTTTTTTTTTTAATAATTTTTTTATTGTTAACCACCATACATTACATCATTAGTTTTTGATGCAGTGTTCCATGATTCATTGTTTGCGTATAACACCCAGTGCTCCATGCAGTACGTGCCCTTTAAATGTTTGGTGGAATTCATCTGTGAAGCCATCTGGTTCTGGACTTTAGTTTTTTGGGGATTTTTTGATTACTGATTCAATTTCTTTGCTGGTTATTGGTCTGTTCAAGTTTTCTATTTCTTCCTGTTTCAGTTTTGATAGTTTATTTGTTTCTACAAATTTATCCATTTTTTTAGGTTGCCCAATTTGTTGGCATAGAGTTTACATAATATTCTCATAATCATTTGTATTTCTGTGGTGTTGGTTGTTACTTCTCCTTTCTCATTTGTGATTTTATTTATTTTGGCCCTTTCTAAACTTTTCTTCTTGATAAGTTTGACTAGAGGTTTATCAGTTTTATTGATTTTTTTCAAAGAACAAGCTCCTGGTTTCATTGATCTGTTTTATTGCCTTTTTAGTTTCTATATCATTTATTTCTACTCTGATCTTTATTATTGCTTTCCTTCTGCTGGCTTTAGGCTTTGTAGTTCTTTTTCTAGCTCCTTTAGGTGTGAGGTTAGGTTGTTTATTTGAGATGTTTCTTGCTTCCTAAGGTAAGCCTGTATTGCTATATACTTCCCTCTTAGGACCGCTTTCACTGCATCCCAAAGGTTTTGGACCATTCTGTTTTCATTTTTATTTGTTTCCGTGTACTTTTTCATGTCTTCTTTTATTCCCTGGTTGACCCATTCATCGTTTGGTAGCATGTTTTTTAACCCCCATGTATTTGATCTTTCCAGATTTTTTCTTGTAGTTGACTTCTAGTTTCATAGTATTGTGGTCAGAAAAGGTGTATGGTATGACTTCAGTCTTCTTGTATTTGTGGAGACCTGTTTTGTGACCTACTAAGTGATCTATTCTGGGAAATATTCCATGTGCACTTGAAAAGAATGTGTATTCTGCCGTTTTAGGATCAGATGTTCTGAATATATCTGTTAAATCCATCTGGTCCAATGTGTCATTCATAGCCATTGTTTCCTTGTTGATTTTCTGTTTAGATCATCTGTCCATCGGTGTAAGTGGGGTGTTAAATTCCCTTACTATTATTGTATTATTATTGATTAGTTCCTTTATCTTTGTTGTTCATTGTTTTAAGTATTTGGGTGCTCCCACATTAGGTGCATCAATATTTACAGTTATTATATCTTCTTGTTGGATTATCCCCTTTATGATTATATAGTGTCCTTCCTTGTCTCTTGTTACAGTCTTTGCTTTAAAGTCTAGTTTGTCCACGTAGTGTCTAAGTATTGTTACTCTGGCTTTCTTTTGATATCCATTTGCATGATAAATATTTCTTCATTCCCTCACTTTCAATCTGCAGGTGTCTTCAAGTCTAAAATGAGTCTCTGTAGGCAGCATATAGATAGGTCTTGTTTTTTATCCATTCTGACATTCTGTCTTTGATTATTTAGTCCATTTACATTCAAGGTAATTATTGATAAATACGTATTTATTGCCATTCTATTACTTGTCTTATGGTTGTTTCTGGAGATTTTTCTCTGATCCTTTCTTGCATTTCTGTCTTTCATCGTTTGCCGTTATATTGATAGTGATATATTTGGATTTATTTCTTTTTGTTCTTTGCATGTGTCTTAGTGGTTTTTGATATCTGATTACCATTAGGTTTGTAAATAACTTCTTCTGTATACAGCAGTCTATATTAAGTTGATCGTAATTTAAGTTTGAACCCATTCTTTTCTCCTCTCCTCCTCACATTTAGGTATATGTTATTATATTTTATATCTTCTTTTTTTTTTAGTTCCTTGACTGATTTTTACAGAAATATTCATTTTTACTAATTTTGTGTTTCCTGCCTTTTATTGTCACTTTTGGTTTTTCCTTTCTACTCAGAGTCCCCTTAAATATTTCTTGTAGGTCTGGGTTAGTGGTCATGAATTCCTTTCATTTTTGTTTGTCTAGGATACTCTTTATCTCTCCTTCTGTGCTGAATGATAGCCTTATTGGATAGAGTATTCTTGGCTTCAGATTTTTCCCATTCAGCACTTTGAATACAGCATGCCACTCCCTTGGGGCTTGCCAAATTTCTGTTGAGAAATCTCCTGCTAACCTTACAGATTTTCCCTTGTAAGTTAAATTAGACTTCTATTGTGTTTCTGCTTTTAAGATTTTTCTTTATTACTAAATTTTGCAGATTTAATTATAATATGTCTTTGTGTGGGCCTACTTTTGTTGATTTTGATGGGGGTTCTCTGTGCCTTCTAGATCTGGATGTCTGTTTCCTTTCCCAGATTAGCAAAGTTTTCAGCTGTTATTTCTCCAAATAAATTTTCTGCCCCCTTTTCTGTCTCTTCTTCTTCTAGGACTCCTATAATACAAATGTTATTACATTTGATGGAGTCACTGAGTTCCATAACTCTATTCTTGTTTTGCATAATTCTTCTTTCTCTCTTTTGTTCAGCTTCATTGCTTTCCATTATTTTGTCTTCTAGGTCATTAATTTGTTCCTCTGCTTCTTCCAAACTGATACTCATTGCATCAAGCATGTTTCTAATCTCATTTATTGCACTCTTCATGTCTGACTGATTATTTTTTTAACTCTTTATCTCTTTGATAAGGGTCTCACTGATATCTTCCATTCTTTTCTCAAGTCCAGTGACTATCCTTATGATCATTGCTTTAAATTCTCCATCAGGCATGTTACTTATATATGTTTTGCTTAGATCTCTGGTCATGACTTTATCTTGTTCTTTTATTTGGGGTAAATTCCTATGTCTTCTCATTTGATCTAAATCTCTGCCTGATTCTCTGTGTTAGAAAAACGAGTAATATCTCCTGTTCCTGAAAGTAATGGCCTTATGAAAAAGAAGTCATGTAATTCCCAGGGCCTGTCACTTCAGGGAGTTTCTCTAGTGTGTGCTGCATGTGCTCTGCTCTTGTATTCTGGCTGCTCTGTCCTTCAGGCCAGTTGTCTCTAGAGGCTCCTCTTGTCTGTTGTGGGCAGTGTTTGGTTCTTCACCTGAATGTGGTCAGTTTTAACTAGGTGTGCTCTGGTCTGCTTGTGAAATGAGACCTGTCACCACCTCCTCCAGAACTGAGGCTCTGCAAAACTTTCTGGTTGGGAGATGTGGTATGAACAGGGATGTGTGCTGGTCTTGGGGAGGGCCTTGTTGTGCTAGGACCAAGGCAAGCATGCCTGAGATCCCACCAGAGTGCAGAGTGGGGGGGTTTAGTGTAAACAAGTTAGGCAGCCAGTGTCAGTGCTGCACTGCTTCCCGCTGTATTTATGCTGAGGGGTAGGGGAGGGAAATGGTGCTGGCCAGCTTCTTTGTTCCTTTAGAGGTGTCTCCTTGAACACTGCCTCTCAGGGATCTGCTCTAAGAAGAGTGTATAATCTCCCCATTGTGTGCCCCAAGCACTCTTCAGATTGCTGTTTCCATGCTGTATGCTCCCAAGTTGTTTGCCTGCCCTCTGTCCAAAAGCAGCACAACGCCCTTTGGGCTCTATCCCAGCCAAGCCTGCTGGCCTTTAAAACTAGGCTTTGAGCCCCACTGGTTGCAAGAACTCACAAAATTCAGCCCTTCTCATTTTCCAAGCCAATAGCTATGGGAAACATTCTCCTTGTGCATTCCTCTGTGTGCTCCTCTCTCCTGCCCTTCTCCACACCATGGTTCCTTCCCCTCCATAGCAGTCAGGATTTGCTTCTCCCCTAAACCTCATCTCTGCATTTCCTACCTTCAGTGTGGCTTCTTCTCTCCCTTTAGTTGTGGAGTTTGTTCTGTCAGTATTCAGGTCAGTTTCTGGGGGTTTTTAAGATGATTTGATAGTTACCTTGTTGTATTTTTGGACTGAGAGGAGTCTGGGATCCTCCTACTCCACTGACATCTTCCTTCTCTCCAGTATTAGTGAAACTTGAAGACATTATGCCATGTGAAATAAGCCAGACACAAAAGAACAAACATAGTATAACTCTACTTATATGGGGCACCTAGAATAGTCAAAGAGGCAGAATGCAGGATGATGGTTGCCAGGGGAACCAGCGAGGGGGAAAGGGTGTTATTTAATGGGTTTAGAATTTCAGTCTGAGCAGTTGAAAAGTTCTGAAAATAGATGGTGATGATAGTAGTGCAACAGTGCAAAGGTACCTAATGCCACAAAACTGCACATTTAAACACTGTTAAAATGATATATTTTATGTTGTGCATATTTTACCATAAAAAGAAAAGAGAGAATAGAGGTACACAGAAAAATTAGGTGGTAGGATTGTAAAGGAAAGCTGAGGTAAGGAAAGTAAAACATTTTCAAGCAGCACTTTTTCTTCACATTTTGCCTTTGTTTATTCAGGGTTCACAAGGACCCCCTGGGAGTACAGGAGACAGAGGACTTGAAGGAGAACCAGTAAGTTTATCTTTATACTGTATATATATATCTTTATACTTTTCTAATTGTGTTTTTCTTGCACTCTTGTGCTATGGCTGGTACATACACATTTATCATGGACACCTAATTATATAGAAAATATTTTGCTGTGAATATAGGTTTTAGTACCTTTCTGGTCTCATATAGTCAAATGGTCCTATTTTTCTGGAATTGTTAAAATTTCACATATTTCTGTTTTCAAAGATAGCTCTGTTTTATGGACTTGGAGAAATTTTCTTTGTGAATGGCTTGCTGTTCTTATAATGACTATATTATACTGCCACAGACACACAAAATTATATTTTTGAGGCCAACTCTGTAATAAAATACCATACAAAGAACCCAAACTCTACATCTGATGGGCCTAAATGTACAAACATGATAGAAATACTGGTATATCAATAATGCAAAAACTTACATCACGATTTTATAAATGTGATTCCATTATAAAATTTCTATGGAAAATGATTGTGAAAAGGAAAGATTTTTGTCACACCTACTTTCTCACAACTTATTCTTTATTGCCTATGAAGTCATTCTTCTGGTTAATGGTATCAGATGTAATATGCTGTAACATGCTTGTAAGATGTATAATACAATATAGTCTTTCAAACTCTACTGGGTTGATCTTATCTATTAGTTGACCCAAAGGTTTACAGGTGGCCTTTGCGTAATTCATTTAGCTAGTAGCAAGTGGAAAGTGTAATAGCCAAAGAGCTATTCTTATCAAATTGTATTCATTTCCTCCTTTACATATTTAACCTATGGTATAAATTCTCCAAGCAATAAGTAAAGATTTGACTGTATATATAATTCTTTCCAAATGAAGAATTTTAGATATGGTATTGATTTTATCAAACTAAAATCCTCTTGGTTCTCTCCCTGTTTTATATCTCTTGCCATCCCAATCTTAATATTTATTTGACCAAGAATAATGCAACTCTCTTTAGTATTATTTACTTAAATATCTCTTTGAAAAAGTCTGTAGCTCTTTGAAGTTAGAGACCATTTCTCTCATCTTTGTAATCCTGCCTGGTATAAAGTGTAGCATATTAGATCTACTTAGGGTATGTTTGTTAAACTGAATTGACAAAAGGTCATATACCCAAAAACATAATTGTTTAGCCAGTGATATTAGATGAAGTGAAATGCAATGGCAACTAACTTAATCTTAGTAAGGAACACATTTAAGTAAAGTCTGTCAAAAGAGCTATGGCAACAGCAGAGACAATATCTTAGACTTTATATAAGAAAAGGTTTGTTACTGTAGGCATAAACAACTAAATAATTTAACAGCACCTAAAAATTAACATTCAGGTCACTGGGTCAGTAGGCTGGTAAATAAAATATAAATCAATTTATAATGGATATGATGGGCTTTGTTGCATATATTTGAGCTACCTGGTTAAATTATAGAAAAGAAAAGAAGTAAATTGGTAAAATGAAGGACACAGAAGAGCTGTTGAAACATATTTATATTTTGAGAATAATAAAATAGAGAAGACTACACCTTTCTATAGTCAGCATCTATTAGAGTTGTCTCTTTTTCCCAGACAAGTTCCAAAACCAGTTTGCTCATTGCAGTGCAAATACTGGGATTTGGATAGTTGGCCATTCATTCATTCAATCAACAATTATTTATTAAGTACCTGCACTTGGAATGTAGTGGTAAATATGTAGGTTTCAGTCTAATGATAGAAATATAGCTAATTAAATTATCACAGAGATAAATGGATAATTACAAACTGAGATAAATGCTGTGAAGTAGGAATTCAATTCTAAAAGAATGTATAGCAGAGAAACTGTCCTTAGGAAAGGCTTCCAGAGGAGGAGCATTTGAGCTAGGATCTGAAGGATGAATAGTAATTACTTAGGCAAAGATGGGGAAAGGTTATTTTAGAGAGAAGTCATGAGCTGAGAGGAAGCTCTACATATTTATTCAAAGATCTAAAAGAAGGCTAGCATGGCAATGGCACAGAGTCAGGTGGGATGTAAGTGTAAGATGAAGATGAAAAAAGAAGCAGGGGACAAAACATGTAGCTTTGCAGGCCCTATTCCCAAGGGTTTATATTTTTATCATAAGAACAAAGGGATGTCATTGAAGAGATAGGACTAGTTTTATAATCATATTATTGTTTTGTAAAGATCATTCGAACAAATTGGAAGGGACTAAGAGTGGATAAGCACTGCTTTCTGTTGTAATCCAAATAAGAGATGGTAGAATGCTTTTGATTAGCGGAGAAAAGAAGTGGATAGATATAAAAGATTCAAAAGGAGATATGAAATCAACAGGAGATAGATTGTCCATATGTAAAGTGAGTCCTAAGTTTCTGGCTGACCCAAATAAATATTTTTGATATCTTTAAACATTGAAAACTGCCTTTAAAAAGGAACATGAGGGGAATGCTGTTGTTTCTAAAAAATCAATTCTTGATAAGTTTGCTTTACAATATGCCCTCCAATTTAAAAACCATTATTTTCTAGGTACACTTCCTTAGTTGAATACCAGAAGTCATTTCCACTCACCTTAAAACATAATTAACAGGATTCTCAGATTAATTAAAAGTATGTGATAAAACCTGACATTGAATTACTTATGAAGATATAAAAAATGGCAACAGTTCTAGAAGCAAAAGATAAAAGACCAGTGTCTCAGTAGAATTTTGACAGTACTAAAATCAGACAAAAATAACACCAACAGAAAAAGCTAAAGATAAATTTCAGCCAAATACCAAAAATTTCAAGTAAAATTCAACTGTATATAAAGAAATAAGTGACTGAAATGAAATATAAATGAAGTGAAAGAAGAATTTTAAAAAGGCAAAAATCACTTAATATTAAGAAATCCATAATATAACGTATTACAGATATAGTAGGAAAATGCTAGAAACAAGTACTCAATAAAATTCAACTATTTTTGGACACCTGGGTGGCCCAGTCTTTAGGCGTCCTGGGATCGAGTCCCACATCGGGCTCCCTGCTCAGTGGGAAGCCTGCTTCTCCCTCTCCCACTCCCCCTGCTTGTGTTCCCTCTCTCGCTGTGTCTCTGTGTCAAATAAATAAATAAAATCTTTTAAAAAAATAAATAAAATTCAACTATTTTTGATTTGTTAAAAATTATAGTAAAATGGTTTCTGGTCTGAATTGTAAGGAGCTTGGAAGCTGTCATCCCCCTTCTTACAACAAGGAAAAAGCTGAGCAAACTGAAAATCAACAATTTTTTAGATCATTGAGGTCAAAGGACCAACTGTTGCCTGAAAACTGGAGAGACAGGAGGATATAGAGAACGACAGCTTACCAGGAGCAGAAGGCCATAACTGGATGGTAGGAGAACTTTAACTATGGTTATATTTGTCAATATAAAATTGACAAATTGCTTAAGACACAATTTAGACTATCATAAGTCTTAAAAAACTAAGAGGGGACCCCGTCTGAGGCAAGGAGCCACATGTCCCTGAGTTTTACCACCAAAAGACCTGCTAGGTTCTCACTCTAAAGTTCAGAGACATACCTGTTTCTTCTAGCAGTGGGATGGGAAAAGTAACCATTTTGAAATACACTCAGAGTGCTCTGTTCTCCTTAACAAAGCTTGCCCTCAAAGGAAATTGTTTTATCTGAGCCTAACTGATTTGGGTTTTCACGGAAGCCTACTGAACTTGGGAGAAGAGCAGTTCCCCAACCCTAGATGCTTCTAGACTTGGACGTGGGAGAAAGAAAATACCCAACTCAGGCTCATTGAAAGACTGAGACCTAATCATAAAACTGTATAGAGTGCTTCTCCTCATCTTATAACTTACCATCACATTAATAGGGCTCTTGTATAATAGTTGAGGATTACAGCTAAAAGAACTGCAGACCCAAACCCTATTTAAGGCATCTCTGGGAAAGCCTAAAGACAACAGACAAGACAAAAACAATGACACTAGGAGGAAATTTAGCTCCTGACACCATAGTGCAGCAAACAATAAACACAGCCTAATTCCCAACCAGATAACTTAAAACCTTTCACTGAAGGCCTGTTTACCTCAGGTCCTTTTACCTTATACACTGTCTTTGACTTTCAACAAAAAAATTACAGGGCATGCAAAAAGGGGAAAAACAGTCTGAAGAGACAAAGCAACCATCAGGAACAGACTCAGATATAGCAGAGATTTTGAAATTTTCAGGCTGGGAATTTAAAAGTGAAGTAGAAATAGAATTTCTCAGACAAGCAAAAACTAATGGAATTTGTCACTAGTAGACCAGCCTTGTAAGAAATGTTAAATTCTTCAGAGAGAAGGAAAGTGATATAAATGAGAATCTAGGATAGAAGAAAGGAAGAAAGAACTTCAGAAGGAATATATAAAAGTAAAATCAAATCTTTTTCTTTCTTATTCTTAATTACTAGAATAGGTAGTTTGTACAAAATAATAATCACAACATTGTATTTAATCTCATACCCTATGGATAAGTGTAGTGGTATAGTGTTATTTGAGAAAATAGACTTGGATTAATTGTAAATATACATTGCAAACTCTAGAGAGTTTAAAAATGAACATTTTTAATTAGAACATTTAGAATATTTAAAAATGTTCTAAATGGAGTATAATTGATATGATAAAATAAGAGAGAAAATGGAATCACTTAAAATTCACGGTTAAAAAAGAGTGGAAGATAAAGAAAGAAAAGAAAGAAACAACATGAGTAACAAATAGAAAACAGTAAAAAATATAGTAGGTATGAACCCAACTATGTGGAAAACCCCAAACAATTGACCAATAAAAAGCACTCCTGGAACTAATAAGCAATTATAACAAGGTTGCAGGATATCAGAATACGAGATTAATATACAAAAGTCAGTTGCTTTCCTATATACCAACAATAAGCAATTGGAATTTGAAATTTATTTTTTATTTTTTTATTATGTTATGTTAATCACCATCTATTACATCATTAGTTTTTGATGTAGTGTAGTGTAGGAATTTGAAATTTAAAACACA